TGAACTTTGCCATGTACTTGTTTTTTTTTTTTTTTTAACAATGCACCAATCTATTCTTTGGGAGCAGCACGTGCTGGGAACCGGGCTCAGCGTCCCGTATGAGATTTTTACAGCGCAATTTAAGATACCGGGGCCATTACCCGGCTTCGGCTGAGATAAACAGAACATACTTGGTTGATAACTTGGTTATGAACCTGGCCATGTACCTGCTTGATAACCTGGTCAGGAAGTTTGTTATAATGCCAATTCATATATAGCTCGTCAACAAGAATGCTGCAGTGGCCGTCTACCCAGGCGTGCTGGGTGTGACCAAATGGTTGGTCTAGGAGGGTGGTTGGGTTTCCGTCGCTGGCCCAGTCTCCTGTTAGCGCACGGGGGAACAAAAGAGGTGAAGGGCACAGAGTGTTAGGGGGATGAAGGGGGTGGAAAGGAGGGCACAGGGGTTTGGGAAAGATAGGAGGCGAAAAGGGGACATGAAGGCAATGGGGGAGGCCATACATCCTGTATTGTCGGGGGAGAGGAGGGGACGGACAGAAGAATGAGTTGAGACATCAGGGGTATTTATGAGAATAATGCGGACAAACATTGATGAAGGTCGTGGGAATGCAGGGGACAGAGCCGGGGGCAAGGTCAGCGGGGAAGAGTCTTGATGCATTTGGGGAGATGTGGGGGGGGTTGTTGGGTTCCGGCTCTTGGTTCTAGGGTATAATAACTGCTTTCATGCAGTTTGTTTTGGCCCTTCATGTTTTTTCATGCCTTTCAACTCATAGGTTTTCTATCTGCTATGTGCGTGTTCTTTCTGCTTGGCGTGCCGACAGGTCAGCCATCATCACATGGCCGCCATAACGACCTCTGGTCACGTCTTCGTGTGGCGCAACAGGCATGACAACATTTTCTCAAGGACAAATGAATGGGAGTTCATTCCTGATCTGGAAAACAAGGACATTCAGATTGTCGACATCGCTGGCCCTGACCTTTGCCGTAAACAGAGTGGATATGAACCCCAAGAAGAGGACCAGGTGGGTGCGTGATTCCAGTCTGTGTACATGTCCATGTCTGGGTTCAGGTACGATCCAAGACCGATGCATGTCCCGAGTTTCGTTTGCATTGAGACTTTGCATTTACTCCTACCGTCTTCACCCGAATAGAGCGCCCGGTCATTATAGCTGTGTTTGGCACAACTTGCGGTCCAGATGCTGCAAGCGATAATGACCGGGCGTTCAATTCGGGTGAAGACGGTAGTTACGGCAATGTTGTTTTCACTGTGGACGGCACTGACTCAGATCTCTCGGCCTGAAGCAAACTGGGGTACGAGTCACAAGAAAAGGACTAGGTGCATGGTTGTGAATCATCTCCTCTGATGCTAGGTTTGGTCCATCTGTGAGTCTGGCTTGTCATTCATTGGCCCATGGGATGCTATTGATTTTGGTAGCTTGAAACTCCTTGCAAAGAAAATGGTTATGAATCTCAACCGGAGGATGTAAGGGTGCAATCCAATTCCACTTTCTCTGAAACTCATGCAAATAAAAATAAAAAGAAATAAATAAAAAGGTCCAATCCAGGTGCAAGTAGTCCAATCTATGTCCAAATCAGCTTACAGCCCGTTGATGAAATTCCACCTGAATTGTTATCCAGTGCTGTTAGTATCGGATGTCATACTTGATGAGTATCCAGGTCCAATCCTGGTACAATCCAGGCCCAATCCAGGTCAATCCGGGTGCAATCCGGGTGCAATCCAGGTCCAATCCAGGTCCAATCCAGGTCCAATCCGGGTGCAATCCAGGTCCAATCCAAGTCCAATCCAGATCCAATCCATTTTCAATCCCTGTCCAATCTGGGTCCTATCCAAATCCAGATCCTCTCCAAGTCCCCTAATAAAAAAATGTTTTTTTTTTTTGGGTCCAGAACCCCTAATAACCCCACGAACACCCCCATACCCACCCCAAATACCCCCATACACCCCCCCAACACCCACAAACCGGCCCCCAACACCCTCATAACCCCCCCCAATACCCCCTATACCACCCCTCTATACCCCCCTATATCCCCCAATACACCCCAGTCCCAAACTCCCCATCCCCAAAAGTTTCTCAGCGGATTTGGGCTGTACTCAGCAAGCGCAGTACAGCTTCCAACTCAGATCTGAAAAACAAATTAGTGGATGGTTGTTTTCTGACTGGTCGGCAGACCGCCGACCGGTCGGCCCTACTGGTCGGCTGCAATACGGTCGGCGGTCGGCAGGGATGCAACCATGGCCCCGATTCCTTTTCCTTCAGTAAGTCATTGCCGCCTTCCTTGATAGGGCCAGGGGAACCCTGGAAAACACTGATTGCTCCGTCAAGGGAGGACTGGCTTTCAATTTGCCAAAAAAAAGCTTCATTGTGACAACGCGACGCAAAGGAAAGGTGACAACAACGCAAAAAGGAAACGAAAGGAAAATGAAAATGTTACAAAAAAAAAGAAAAAGCAACAAAACAAAAACGAAAAGGCGGAAAAGAAAACACACACGGCGGCTACGGCACAACGAATCAAAAGTGCTGCGAGTTCTACATTTATGGTTGCTCCTAGGGAGGCTGCTCTTATCACCTCCCTAAAGTGGTATCCGCGACTCAAAGTTCAAAAAAAAAAAAAAAAAAAAAAAGTTTTTCAGACTTTTTTTCAAAGGTTCAGGAACCCAGGTAGGTTCAGAAGGGCGCTTGCAGGGATACTGGTGGTTAAACCACCAGTACCCCAGGAGGAGGGGGGGGGGGATCTTAGGCCCCCGCTGGGGCCCCTCTGACGCAAATGCATATGCACTAGCACGGCGCAACGATTCAGCCACCTCGTTAACGGCCTAAAAACGTGGAGGTACTGGTGGTTAAAGAAGCATTTCCTGAAATCAGTCCAATTATCGAAATTCATTTCCCAAAGCTTTTGTGGCGATGCCCCATCCTGGTCTTCGCATGCTGTTCTCCCCTCGAAGAAACATTCTCAAAATCAGTCCATTCCATTCCATCGTCTCGCAGCTTGCCGGCTCGGCGGCCTGATAAACTTGTGGATTCATGAAGACATTGTGAGGTTGAAGTCGAAACAGTAAACCATTTCTTTTGTTTGTTCAGGAGGGATTCCTCCTTCATGTCAATCTTTCTTTTTTCTCCCTTCTTTTTTCAAAGAAAATGTTATGTGCCTGATTGAAAACGAATCCAGCATGGCATTCACACGTTCCCATACACATGCGCAATGACAAGTAGCCCAGATGATGAGAATACACAGTGGAGGCTCACAAAACCAAAAATAGAATTGAATTCGATCAATTCTACTCGATACCATCTCTCCCCAACTCAATCAGCAGCATAAGTTTCCCAGGATCCCAACCATGTACGTTATAACACCCACGAAGCAATTAAAAAACAGAGTTTTCAACTTTTTTATCGAGCTCAATGGGAGACTTCTTCTTCCTCCCTTCATCTCAAGCTCTAGCTATGGCACCACTCCGAACTCCAGCGCCCAACCAGTCAAGCCCACCAATCGCCACACACCCTCCTGAACCTGACACGCCACTTGCACCAACCGGACATCCCACTGCAGACGTAGTGTCCCCACCAACTAGATGCCGACGACGGCCCTGATGGCTGCGCTGCGCTGCCTCAAAATAGCGCAGCAATCTCAACGCGATTTCCCTCCGGACCCTCGCAGGTCGTGGAAAAAGACCAACAAAGAACCCGGCCGACTTCCAACTCTCCATATTTCTACTACCTTCGACCTAGACTACCAGACCCTACTGCCTACAGCCGAGACCTAGAACAGACCGAAGGGACAGGCCTATGGACTTAACAGGTAACAGCCGGAATCCAAGTAGGGCCTAAGATTTAAATGAAAATTAAAAGAAAAAGTCCCTAAGGGGGACCGGGCTTGGATGTTGTCCCAAATAGGACCAGAGCAAAGAAAATTGTGAATCTAACCTATTTAGTGTACATTGTACAACCCGCTACAGAAAGCTGCAAAAGGGCAAAGGCCTTGAGATATCATCATTGACTTGACCGCACAAGAGGGTACCTTGGTGTTGTAATGCCGGTTAAAACTAAATAAATAAGTAAATAAATTTAATAAATTCATCCGGTTAGTAGTGAGCACGGATGATTGGGGTGCGTTGGCTGATGGCACTCTCTCTTTCAGAAAATATAGAACGGTGTTCTTTGTTTGATCGGTGCAAAATTGCAAATTGTTTAGAGCGTAGTTCTTTCCTGCATCTTTGATACACACTTTTGCATCCTTTAAACCACCGCTGCCTTTCCCATATGTCGGCCGCGGGCATCTAGTAGCCAACTCCTGAAAAATAGCCGCCACGCCGCCGTCGATGTTTTTCATCGATGGCCCGTGGCGGCTGAATTTGAGGCCCGCGGCCCCACATATGAGAAAGGTAGTGGTGGTTAAAAAAAAAAAAAAAAAAAAAAAAAAAAAAAACAAGCCAAGGGGCACACTTTTGCATCCTGTGATTTTAAAAAGAAAAAAAGAAACCACCGTCAGATCTCTGTTCTGCTGTGATCAAAGGGTGTAAAAAAAACTCCCTTTTTTCGGTTTTTGAAAACGTTTCCAGTTCATAAGCTCATGTCTATTTTTTTTATTTTTTTTTTCAATTTTCAAATTTCTAATGTCTTTGTATCCATCTGATACCATGAGGAATCGAACTCATGGCCTGCTTAGCAACAGTTACATGTGTACCATTAAGCCGCATGGGCTGGGGGTGATACAAACGCGCGCGTTTTGCTTGAGGTTGGTGCTGTGCTGATTTTGAGAATTATTCTATTCTGGTCATCTGATTGTATCGTGATTCGAACTTGGATCTGTCTGCATTTCTTGTGCGGTGATGGATTTTTCAATGAATGGTACAGGTTCCTGACCCCTTTTACCTGGCCGCTGTGGATAAGAACGGACAAGACTATGTCCTGGTAGGATCTCAGGCTCAGGAAAGACCGGTGAGTAGTTTCCCTTTTCTTGGAAAAAACGGAAGAAACCTGGTCCTGGAATACATATGCTCTCTCTCTCTCTCTCACTCACTCTGTGTGTGTGTGTGTGTGTGTGTGTGTGTGTGTGTGTGTGTGTGTGTGTGTGTATTTGCTGCCCAGGGGGGATTTAAATTTATGTTGTAATCAACTTCAAATTCCAACAGTGTTTTGGCTTTGGTATCCTGTGGCCTGCACTTGCCTGCCTTGCATTATGAGCTGTTGCTGCATAAATAGGAAATTGGAAAGCATCGAAAGTTCTTTTGTCTTCTTGCAATTGAAAGTTGTTACCTTCATCTCTCTCTCTCTCTCTCTCTCTCTCTCTCTCTCTCTCTCTCTCTCTCTC